TGATTTATGAGACAACTTTGTCAAAAGCACACCATGCATACTTCCTAGTATCTTTGTGGTTATTTGTGACTGTTGTACAAGGATGGGCATGAGAACATGGTGTAGGCCTAAATGAACGTGTATGTAGTCAATTGGAAAGTATATTATTAGTTGTTAATCTAATCAAGGAGATAACCAACAACATATAAGAAAAGGATTCATATAGCTAATGCCAAAAGTTTGGAATAATGCCTTTGATGATGAGTATGATGTTATCAGACACAGATGAATATACTTTAGTGTGGCTATCCTACACCAATTTTTGATTGGGGGATGTTTCATACATAGTGTAGCAACTTAAAATTCTTAATATTTTAGATGGTACTCTTCTTTTGTATAATTCTTTAGTTAAAGTTGGAACCTGGAAATATAATTCAAGAGTAATGTAAGAAAGACTGCGGCCAGATACTCTTCAGTCAAATGCTGTTCCTATTAAAATGGATCCTATGTGAAGCATGAGGAGAAAATTTAATTATGTTTGTGTACTTAATTCAAATATTAGTTGTTTGAGCAGAAGCAAAGCATTCATTTGAAAGAAATTGTGCTGCAGGTGTATCTGAGGATGCTGTTTCTGGTCATATCCAATTGCTGAATCCTGGAGAAACAGCTTGTTTTGCATGCGCCCCTCCTCTGGTAAGTGCATATAGAGATACCACATAGTGATAAATGGCTTGCTGTAGTATTCTCTCTGCAACATTTTTTAAACTATCAATACCGTATTAAGTTCGATATATACTACTATATATTTTTCACATAATTTTTTGTGGACATTTTGTTGGAGGTAGTTAATTTATTCACGAGTTTTAACCTTTTTTTTAAGAAAAGTATATTCATAGTAAAGAAATAGATAATATTGCTTTCTTTATGTTGGAAGTTTTCATGTAACTGATGGTTCCATGTATGTGTTGTCTTGCTAAGATAGGGAAGTTTGATTTTTGGGATTTCGTGTTAAGCTTGACATAGTTGAAAGACATGCTAATCGATTTACAAAAAATTTGGTTTTTTGTCCTTTCTTAAATTTAAGCCGTCATTTCCTATGCCATACGTTTTTTTTGTAACTTGAACTCTGGTCATCTTTGTATGTTTTATGTGGCAAGATCTACTACGTGCTAATCATTGTAACATTTCATCAAGAACTTGATCATTGTCCAGAACTGAATATGGGTATATTTATTAAGTTGATTATATGCGCCCCTTTGTATTAACTATTAAGTACATCTTTCTCTAGCTTCTCTGGTAGAATGCATTGAAATTTCTAATTAATCAACCAAATTTTTTAAATGGAAATTCAAGCACAGGTGACAGGCTCAACCTGGTTGTCACTTTTATTGGTTTCTTTTAGAAATCCGTTTCTCAACCTGTAAATTTCTTTAGTGTTTTCATGTGTATGTATTCATTTGGGCAAGTTTTGAATATTTGTCGATATAGATATGTAGTAGTCACATTGTATAGGATTTAAGCATGCCAATGCATTCTGGCATAAACTGCACGATATCTGAATATTGGTAATACCATTCAATATTGGTTAACAATGACTAATATAGAAAAAGACCTGAGGTTTGTAGTACTAAAAGATAATTCACGATTGCCTCGTTGTGAAAGAATAATTAAGGAAACCAGTGGAAACTTTGTGAATAATTCAGACATTTTTCATGTTCCGATAAGAGACTAGAATACCAAAGCAAGCACAATTTCTGACACGATAGCAATAAATGCAAACTGAGATCGCGACCAGTAACCGAGATCTCAAACCTTTCATTTGGGACATTGTTATCTCTCTCTAGATTTTGTGGAAGAAATTTTTTGTTAAGTTTCTAACTAATCAGCTAAATTAAGATTTTGAATGGACATCTAATCATGCGTGCATTCTGTGTTCTCCGCTTCTGTTGTGTACCTATGCTTTATTTATTCTAGTTGCGAGCATAAAATTTCAACTCAAATAACACATTTGTTCAGTTTCCATTTTTGTAAATGGTTTAGAGGTACCCCTTTTCCCCCTACTACTTTCTGAATCTTATTTTTTCTTGTTTTCTTTTCCTCGAGGGGTTGGGGGATGAAGCATGGGTATCACATGTATCTTTCTAGTCTATTGTTTTGCCTGCATGTCTTGGCTCTTGCTGTTATCAATTAATATGGCATCCTTTATTGCTAGTAATTCCTCAATCCATGACAAGCTTTCCTTCAATCTTGTTTGTCACACACATAACAATCCTCTACCACGTAGTGCTACATATGCTTTCACAAGTCCTCTGCAATGCTGTCACTGGCCACTTCTCTTGTACTGAGCTAAACTGGTAATGGAAGTTTTTAGTTGAGCAATGCAAATAGTTAAAGAGTTAGAGACTAACAAATATATTCCAAAGAAAGTTGAATGGAAAAATAAATAAGAATTTAACAAAATTTTTAGATCCTTCGTTCTTTGAAAAATAAAAGTAAAAATAAAAATCTATCAGAGGTTTCTACATAGCCAGTTCTGCTAGGATGAAAATGAGATGACTAATTGATTCTAGAATATGTGAATTAAGATTTCTCTGTAAGATTACTATTAACATGGTCAATTTTTTTTCTCAATTTGTCATAATGTTTGTCTTTATCTTACACAAGTATCTATTGATGGCATAACTCTAATGTGTGCTCAATAATGTATCTATTAGCGCTTTGAAGTTCCCGCATCTATTTCCTCAAATGTAATCTTCGAGTTGCTCTAAAGTCCAAATTGGCTAAAAATTAATATTGACAGCTATTAATTCTACATCGTCTTTGCCTCAAGAGTACAGTTTTTACATCTGACTAATTTGTTTTTGCATTTATTGATCCACATAATCACCCACTGGATGTATGGAAGTCGTGATGATATTCTATTTACAGGTTGTAGCATCTGGTGTAGATGAACGCACACTTAAGCGTGAGGGAGTATGCGCTGCATCTTTACCAACTACTATGGTGAGGAATGTCTCACTTTGTTTAACCATAAGGTGCCTTCTCTCCAGAGAGCATGTTATGAGTTTTGTTGCTGTTAACATCCTTTTATTTGCATTAGCAATTTACTTTATTAACATTAGTTACTTTTACGGTATACACTAGGTTCCACAGGCTCTCACTTTATGCAACCTGTGCATGCTCCTCTTGGATGTTTTCTGATCGCTTTTTAGTGGTTAGCATATGATTTAATTATTACATGAGTGAAAGTGGCTTTTAACAAATAGTCTCGCATTTGATTATTTTGTAAATTTATGAACCGCATAAAACTATATTAATCTACAATATTTGTCCTAATGAAGAACTGAGTCTGTGAACTATGCAAAAATGATCTTCTATATGCTGGACGTCTACTGTTATGGACCTCAAGTTGCCTGTTATCATTGAAGTGTTTATTTCATCAGACTTGATTTGACATTTGGTTATTGGTACTCTTTATACATTGTACTGTCATGAAAGATTAGGCATCAAATATTGACTTGCTCATCTCATGCCATACGTTTGTTTTAATCCCAATCTCTTTTGTTAAATTACCTCATGTGAACCATCTGTTTGTACATGTTTTATTAATTTTCTATCCAGCGATAGTGACTTTTAGCAAATTATATCTTCCAGGGCGTTGTTGCTGGTCTCCTAGTGCAGAACACACTTAAATACTTATTGAAGTTTGGACAAGTTTCTCCATATCTGGTATAAACCCTCCTTACCTTTAATATTCTACTCTCTGTTATCTTTAAATTACTAAACTATTTTGTTTTTGTATTATACTAGTTCTGGTATTGTGAATGTGAAGCCATTTAGACATCCTATATTCTCTTTGTTATGTACTTGCAATTTATCAGTTTTTCCCCCTCCAAATTTTAGAACATATATGTTCGGGTTAAAGTATCCCTTTTCCAGGGAAGTTACAGGATGTTTGAGCATACTTTTTCTACACAGTGATTGTTTTCATACTTCAATAGTTCATTAAAATTTTGCTCAAATGCAGGGATACAACTCGCTAAAGGACTATTTTCCAACAATGGAGATGAGGCCAAACCCTCAATGTTCAAATTCAGCATGTCTTGAACGACAGGTTACATGAATCACATGCGTTGCTTCATGAATGATACTTACATGTTTGAACCTGCATGCTTTTTGTTGTGCACTCTGTAACCTTGATGTCATGCAGAAGGAATATGCCCAAGCAAAGCCAGCTAGAGATGCCTTAGCAAAGGCAAAACTGGAAGCTGAAGCATCTTTAAGTAATGAAGGTCCACTTCACGTTGATAATGAATGGAACATAAGGTAAATATCCCTGCTAGTTCTTTGTATCCTAGTTCCAATTCTCAGATTTCTCTTGATAATCATGCTTGGTACTGAAAAGTTGATTTTTTTCTCAGTTTAGTCCTTTTTAGGGAAAGTTTCAGAAAACTCCCTTAAGTTTGAGCGTTTCTTAGATAATCCTCCTCAAGTTTTGGGGTTCTCAAAAACCCTCCTTCAAATTTTTATCATTTTTCAAAACCACCCTAAGAGTGTTAACCACAATTTGACATGGGTGGGTAAAATTATTCATCTTGATAGTAAAAATTGTAGTTCATGCTTTCAGCTCTTTTATTTTTGGGTGAAAGTTGAAGGGGGTTTCTCAAAACTCCAATATTTTAAGGGGGTATGTGACATTTTAAAGTTACGGGGGGGGGGTTTATCTGAAAATGCCAAAACTTAAGGCAGTTTTTGTGAAATTTACCCTTCTTAACGATCAAAGTATGATATCTTGAACTTTGATTAATTTTAGCATCCAAGAAAACATATATTAATTTGTGCTGGCGTTTCTTTTTTTCCTTTTTCTTCTTCTTTTTTGTTTCTTGGGTTTTTTTTTTTTTTTTTTGGTGGTGGGGGGGTGGGATGCTTTTTGTTGTGCAGCAACGAGATCTATCAGTCCGATCATTAGGCATAGATTGCTTTGAACTGTATGAATGGGAACCATCAGACTTTCTACACCCAGAAAAGCTTCTGGAAGTATCTAATTTAGAGTGCATACTGTTTCAAGAATTGGAGAGAGAATATATAATGGGCTCAGAAGTTGCATGTTTAATGACGATCTCTTTGTTATAATTGCCACACCAGATTTATCATGCTGAACTTAAATGAACCGTGTTTTAGGTTTAGGGCAGTGGCCTCTGCCATTATAGTCACATTGCACGGGGATGCTCAAATTGATTAAAACCCAGAGAATTGCTATTATAACAGTTCAAAAAATTGTTTCTCTATGTTGTCATCTTTGTTGCATACCTTCAATTTGGATATGGACTTATTTGTTTCTGCTGTAAATCATCTGGGTTTCTGGGAGACCATTCCCATCCTTGCTCATTGTGCTAGGAACCTGATATTTGATGTGAGAGAATTGAAAGGATGGCCTGAACTTTAGTTCATCAATGCTAGTAAAAGACTATCAAATATAAGACCTTGGATTCATCTAATGTGAGTGTGAAAAGGTCATCTTTCGTGGAAACTCGTTATGTGAAGACATGGAGAAGAGAGTTTACAATACTAAAAATTGTGGATTTTTGGAGTTTAGTTTTGTAAATAAAAACTGAGATATCATTAGAGAAGGTGCTGTGCTCGAGCTTATGGAGTTTACGTTTGTTATTGACAAGGAGTCTTGTTTTCATTTTATAAAGAAAGTTTTGATAGTGGCCGTACTTGAAGATGGTTTGCCTATCATATTTTCATAGAGAATTTTCAACATGTTCATAAGGTAAGCTTTGATAGTGGCCGTGCTACATTGCAAATTTCTTGTCAGTGATGCAGTTAAAATATAAAGAGCTTCTTGACCACTCTTCCCGATATTTCACTTGTCTAGACTAAAGAGTAGAACTGGACCACTTAAATTTGGGAAGGGAATGATATAATTTTTGACGATGATGATTTGTGCTGTCAGCAGTATATAAATGGGCGATCTAATGTGTGTTACTGTTCCTCGGCAGCTTTCAGTTTTCATATCCATAGTGTTGAGCGCACTGTATTTTCTCCCTTTTGCTGCTTTTTCAATTGTAAAATCTTTCGAAATCCAGTTGGTTTTTTCAGGTAAACATGCAGTTATCTGCTTTATACATTTACCTAGATTTACGAGAAAAGTTATGTTAAATGCTCGAACTTATATTGACTCTTGAATCTTTCTTGCTTTTTCTCTTCAATCTTTCCAGTGTTGTAGACATTGACAGTGAGAAGACATCTGCTGCAAGCAGAAGTTCCGATGCCCTTCCAGAAGGTCTCATGCATGAGCTTCCGAGCTCCGATAGACTTCAAGAATCACCATTAGCCCAGGAGACCATCACCATCAGTGATGATCTCGAGGATCTCCAACGGCAACTAGATGCCCTCAATGCAGCTTGACTTTACCCAAAGACTTTTAACATTCCCCTGTATTTTGTATTCATTTCTGTAACTCGGCTGATCAATTATATCAATCAAATTCCCCCTCGTAAAATTAAAGAATGAAGGGGGGGGGGAGTGGTAATACTTAACCAAACTAGCGAACCTGTCCCTTAGCCTAGGCTATGAAAAGAGGGACTGTGCATCTTGACATGGTTTTAATTTTGTTTGATAGGACGCTAAAGGAATTCTGAAAATGAGAGCGTGCGATTAGTTTTCGTCTATGCCTTCATTCTGAGAAGGAGATGCTTGTTGGCTATTCTTGTATTTTGATGAATTAATTACTCTACCGAACCTGTTATTGTGAAGTTTGCTGATGTTCTCTTAGCTATTTTCTTAACCCTTGGTGAATGTGGTGGATAGAAGTATGCAACTCCTGACGCTGGTGAGGAAAAAAGGCTCATTCCGGTCGGCAGCGAAATCTGCTACCATCGTTAGGAGCTAAAAGTTTTGTTGGAAAAGAAGATTAGGTTTTTTTGGGTATGCATCGTTGTAAATTGTTGATTTTGAGCGGAAATTCCGTATTTTTGGGGCTCATCTGGGTCGGTTGACGTTTAGGGATGGGGTTGTTGCGAGGATGAGAAGAATGGAGGGGAGTTATGTTTCGTTGAGAGTGAGATTGCGAGTTCAAAATGAAATGTTAGCATACATGCAAAAACAAAAAAAAAAAAAAAAAAAAAAAAAAAAAAAAAAAAAATCATCGCTAAAAAGATTAAAGCAGGGAGAGGGTGTGTTTTGGTAATTTTATCTTGTCACGAGGGTTAAACTGAACTGTGTTAAAATTTGCTATACGTAGAAGAGAATACATCAACATTACGTCTTCCTTTTATCTTTTCTTGTCATATACATGTTAGCTATTTCTCATTTGGTGCTTCGTTGGAGGCTTTGAAACGAGGATTAATATAAGTTAAAAAAAGAAAAGAAAAAAACAAGTAAAACTCAAAAGATTGATAACCTAACACTACAAGAATATCCAAACAGATATCCACTGCAGTTGAGCATAAAAATAATTTACAATTTGTTATCACTGAAGTTGATATCGTAGTATTGTTCTCTTTTAAAAAGAATTCCGAAAAAAGAAACTTAGGAACCAATGATTTATAAGAGCTAAATACTTAAGGCCTAAGCCATTCTTTAACTCCTGCGCTCTCGTGGCTCACTTTCATGACATATCCGTGATAATTTTTTATTTGACACGCAGACGGTATTTTCAAGTGCATCTCAGAAGCATAATTCATTGTATTGGTCATTAATAAGCAATTAGATACAAGTATTATTTTAGCTACATGGATTTGGGTTATGGTGATAAGATATTGTCCTTTGAGGTTCTGATTAACGCTCATGCATTTAGAGGGGATTAACGTTTGTGTGGGGCTAGCTAGTCGAAGGAAAATAATTTGTAGATTTTGTTGGTGCTTTGGAATTTGGAGAGACAAAGGGGTCTCTTCAACTGTTCTTTTTGTTAGTTATTACTTAATTATTAAGGCCCGTTTGACAAAGGGTTAATGAAGAGGGGTTAAAGAGAAGGATTAATGTACTTAGCCCATTTGATAATCCGAATGACTAAATTATTAACCTGTTAAATAAGTTTTATTTTAGTCCTTATGATCAGTTTTAGTGTTTGGGAATAACAATGATTTTGACTATTTTCTTTATAATTAGAAGGGTTAACTCTTATTCCATCTAAATAGGAGTATTAGTAAACCCCTCATTTTGAGGGGTTAACTCATTTTAACCCCTCTAGAGGGGTTAACTTAACCCTTCTATATTTTTTATGTTTGGCAAATTATGAAGGGTTAACTCACTTTAACCCTTATATAGATTTGTTGTGTTTGGCAGATTAAGAAGGGTTAAGTCACCTTAACCCCTTACTTAACCCTTTGCCAAACGATACCTAAGAGGTTTGCTTCGGTGCTCCAAAAATAGGTTTTTTTTTTAATTTTTAAATTAACAAAAATAACAAATTAGCTAAAATAAGAAAGGGTATTTTAGTCTTTTAAAAATCTCTTTCTCAATCTCACGTCTCAGTTCCACCAGCACAAAAGAAAAAAAAAGGGGGGAAAAAAGAACCAGTTAAATTTCCTTACTTGTAGTTTCTCTTATTTTTTGCATACTGATAGAAAATACATGTCGTGCACGGTTTGTAATTTTTTTCCATTCAATCAAATTTACTTCTCAATCTCACGAACGGGGTTAATTAGAAACCAATTGAACCCTCCTCACGCCAGGCAGTCTATTTTCCAAAAGAAAATCTATCTTTATATAGAAAAACGAATGATTACTGATTTGCAGAACGAGAAATTTAAGGGCTTAACAACTACATCATACTATATAATTAAATTTTTAAAAAAGGAAAAATAAGAGGTACCTTTCATGGCGTTCTCTTTCTCTTCACGAGATTTTGAGTTTGACCGGTTTCTTCTAATGGAAAGTGCGGAGAAAAGCTTCGGTTTTAATAGTTAATTAAAGAATTCTAATTAATGATAAATTCTGTTTCTCCCATAAATTATATTTTCTAAAATAACATTTTTACCCATAGTTAATTACAATTTTGGGTGTGGAACACCTCATAACCGTCAAATCTATATACCTAGAATTGTGAGAGCTATTTTTAAGGAATTTATTTACGGATATGCCATCATTGCTCCAACTAATCTCTATGAAGCACCGAAGCTGTAGGCAATTATTAATGTTGGATATGAAATGGATATATCTAGCATTAGTTAAGTGTTTTGGATTGTAAATCTAAGATTTGTCATGGTCTGAAATATTTCATGGTGTGGCTTGAGATGAAGATAGTGTCAATACATTGACTAGGTAATTTTATTATGATGGTGTGTCACTACAAATTTTTTTTTTCTTTAATGGCTAAAAATAGTGTCAATACATATAGGCAAGGTAATTAGAGTACATTTAACGGTAAATTGAAATAACACTAAAAAATTAATAATAATAATAATAATAATAAATCTGCCCAGTTTGTGAGTGTCATGTGGAAAGATTTTGGGGAAAATCTCATGTTTAAATAATAAAAGGTATTAAAGTGCAACTTTTAAAAACTTCAGGATATATAAAGTATAAAGTATTTAAGTGCTAATTAGCCATTTAGAAAAACGCAGTCTTTCTGACAATATTCCTCCTTTTTTACCCCCCAATGCAAAGCCCTTGAAGACTTCTCCTTATTTTAGAATTCTTCTCTTCAAAATAACGAACGATGAAATATTACAATCAATTTGTCAATATGACTCATCTTCACTCCATCATAAAGAAACTCCTTCATCAAAACACAAACAAATGCTCAAACTGAAAGAAAACAACCCAACGAATCAAACTCTTTTTCTAGAGCCAATACCTAGCTAGTGTTAACAGCTTTGCAGGATTTTCTTATCTCCCCGTTTGCTCCTGTAAGCACCTGAATAGCTCCCATCTTGATCATAGCATTACTGAACTGGCTAGTGAAGTTGAATGCATTGGCAATAGAACTGACTATATCTCTAGTTTTATTATCCAAAGCTATGCTCTGATCAATCTTAAGAATTCCTCTATTCATGAGTATTTGCTTATAAAAACTGTTGTCTACAGTGTTTGAGCTCTGAGAGTTCTGATCAAGGTTCACAGTGTTATCCACCTTTGATTTCTGAGGACACCTCAGCTTCAATGCAGATACTAGACCCGAATCCATCGCGGGGTCAGGACTCCCCGTTCCGTTGAAGTTGTATAGGCGATCAGAGAAAAGAGAGCAGTGTGCAATTCCTACGGTGTGGCCTCCTGTAACATAACATCGCTAACATAATATAAACTCAAGAATTATTCAGTTCGCGTAAAACACAGTAAATACCCTATTGATTTGTAGGACTGACAGGAAATCTTTCTGGACTTTCAGAGCTGACATATTAACTCCATCATGTAAACCTTACACAATGTTCAGTAATTTACCCTTTCAGTTTAGAGAATACTAGCTAGTGACAGTTTTCACTGGTAGAATTTATCGATCGTACCTAGTAAAAGAACCATATCTGTAACACTGAGGCCCTTCTTTTGGAATGCAGTGATCGATTGATCAACGGGTATCGTCGGATTAGGGAGATCGACGTTGCTAGCAAGAGAGACCTTTCCGTCCCTCCTCCCCATTTGAACTTTGTACCTTGATCCTCCAGCCTATTTTTAGCCATTTATTATAATAAAAACTTAGGGCATTAGGAAATACATATCTTCTGAGAAATTTATGTCATCACGAAAAAAAACATTTCTAAAACTCAGTTTTCGAAGTCGTAGTGATGACTTACGAAGGCAATGGCGTCCCTTGTGGCTGCAATGATTATATCGGCACAAGAGACTATGCGTGGGCATGCTTTCTCCAAGACCGTCTTCACTTCGTCGATAATGTCATAGCCTCTAACGCTCAAATTTGGAGGCGCGGTTTTTTCTGAGGACTCCCCATCCAATAGTAGCGATGCATCACATCCCTACATTTTATTCATAACCCAACCAAGCCATGTAAGTCTCCCAGCATGGCATACGTACTATTTAATCTACTTTTTTGACAGTGCAGAGGATCCAAATCCGGCTCACGTTAACGAAGCAATCGTGGAACTGCATTCGGAGGAGTGCAGCGACGACTGTAGGATCTTTGACAAAACGGCTGTGTACAATGCCTCCAATGATGGACTCGATGTCTATACTCCCGCATTTCCCTTTATAAAATCCGACCTGTAGCGGTCCTTGGGACGCTACGGTGAAGGCCAGAATCAGTAAGATCATGGTGATGAGTGTGGCCTTCATTGTTGGTTTCAAGGAGGAGGAGAATCTCGGATTGTTTGTGAGTATCTTTTAAAAAAAAGGAGGAGAATGATGAGATATATTGAAGGAAACGACTAAAGATTATTTATAGAGGGAAGGAATGGGGTTGGTAATGTAAATAAGTGGAACCCACGTAAACTTCTCTTTTTGGACAAGACGTGCAGGAGTGCAGGACAACTACGTACCCCAGGTGGTATGAGATAATAAAAATATTTCAATTTTCTGTCTCTTTCCCCCCCTCAAAATGAGTACAAAAGATTTAAATTTCTCTCTTCCAAATTCCAGTTTCATTTCCTAATGTCTAGAACTTGACCTGATCTTCTAAGAAATCATCCATACAACTTAAGTTTTTTGTCCTCATTGTCAATTTACATATGTATCTTTGAAACACTTTCCTATGCACATGTATGAAGAGTATGTCATCATAGGCATGCATGTATGTATGGAGAAAGATATACATGTGAATAACCATTGCACTAGCTATGTTCAATTAATAAGTTTTTCCTTGTTCATGTGATGCATTTTATTTATACCATCATTAATTTTCCTAACTTTTACTGACATTTTTTTCCCGCAGACAGTTGTAGGGGGGGGGGGGGGGGGGGGGGAAGAAGTAATAGAAACATTTATATTTGTATATCATCCGTAGAATATATTAAAATTTGCGTAGGTCAAAACTTTGATTTGATCGAGATGGCTGGCTTCAACCAATCATGCGGTTAACATCAATGAAACTGGGGCAAGCAATGAAACGAACGTCGTATGGATGGGAAGACAAGAAACATGATTTCGGACAAACTGTAGGTATATTTCAACTTTTCTAGATAATTGTCATCTTTGCGAAACTTGCAATATTTACGTTTCAGAAATTCACCGAAGTAAAGTACCTTTAAAACAAGGGGAAATTAACAATGCAAAACAAACTATTATATGGGTGATGGTGTGACTTGGCATCGATTATTCTAAGCAGGAGGAAATTCTTTTTTGAGTAACTTAAGCGAATTAATTCACTTTTCACTTGGGGTTCGTTTGGATAATAAAAATATTGGAAGTAAGAAGTAGATTATAGAAGTAACTTTCAAAACTATGAAGTAGAAAGTAGTGAAAATAGTATTTTTTTTTTGTTGTTTCATATATTTTTAGAAGTAATGGAAGTAGAATTTCTTCCTCTTCATTTACTTTTTTTTATTTGAATAACATTTGAAAATATTACTAGAAAGTAATTTTATCAATGAAAAATTGTTAGAAGTAACTAATAAAGAAAATATTAATAAAAATTTATTTATTTCCTAATTAATATGCATTTCAACTACTTTCGAGCTACTTCTGAGTATTGAGAACTGAAAAAATATTTTGAAAGTAAGGATGACACGTAGGCGCCACATAAACGTTTAGGGAAACATTGGAAGTAAGTTTTTCAGAAAACCAAACACACTTTTTTGCTTGGAAATAGCAAAAGTAACATCTACTTCTTTTACTTTAGCTACTTCATAATTACTTCCGTGCAAACAAACATGCCCTTAACTCACATAGCAAATAAGAAACAAAATCAAACCTTCCATGTCTTGGTCCGGTTACATCCCTAATAAAAAATAATGATATGCTAAAATTAACTAGTCGCTATTGCACTTGACTCTCATTTAAACACCATTTATACCCTCTCACAAACTCTATCAATTTCCCAATGTGGGGTTATTAGTGGGTTATCACAATATGAGACAAGGAATTCGTATCTAGTAGATGTAGCTTAATTTTACAGGAGATGGAATAGTAAACCAATGCCTATGAAATTTTGCTAAGAAGAAGGGGACATGCAATAATATCTTGTTATTTAAGTAAACAGAAAATTCATGAAATTTTAAATCCATTAGCATATTATACGAACAGGCCATATAACCTGCTACCTAATTTGCTGCTAGATATCAATTAGTAGCACATGAGATGCATGCGTAAAGAATACAGCAACCGTGGGCGAACACTTCTAAGGTTCGTCAAAGAGGACAGAAATCTGTGTCATGGGTGGCCGGTGCCTCCTAATCTGCAGGATGTACAAAAAGTCACATCAAACTCATAAAGAAATCAAATTTTATGGAAGTATACAAGTATCATTCCTACCTTAACACCGGCCATTGATAACAACTTGTGTGAGGCAACATATGCAGTATCAGAATTTCCCAACCTTTTCTCAACAAAATATATTACTTCAGAGACGCCGGACTGCAAGAATAGTAGAAACATCATTTTCAATATGAAAATTTTTCCTACAATCAAAGGTACACTTGAACCTAATGATTTCTGAGTTGTAATTACTTTGAAGAGCAAAGAATCATACTACAAACAGCTAATTTGCTTATTAACTTGACATTGTTCCTGACATAAGTAACTAACTACACAGGCATGCACGCACATGTGCGCACACAAGCACTCACGCATGCATGCACATGCATGCATGCACGCACGGACATGCAAACACATAGATATAAGGAGAAAAAATAATTCTTGGAAACCACTTGTAAATTTAAATGAATTAGAGGTTGTAGGTATTTAAATATAAGTAAACAAAAGATCAGTCAAAGTCTCCTAATTTCAAATTCTTAAGACCAACCTTCACAACTTCGGGATTCTGCTGTAGTGGAAGACGCTTTTAAGATGTCATAGAGCAGCTCAGATTCAAATCCCATAGGACACCTACTTAAGTGGACTTTAAAAAAAGATCACTGCATAAGTTCAGGCGAAAAAGGACATTCAACTTGCGGGAACATGTTAGAATATAAGATTGTAACCCTCGACCCTCATCACAATTTTGGAGCTTTGATGGGTAGACAGGACTTTAAGACCAAGCATTAACTTCTGAAACAAAATGACCACTTATGTCTGTGATGGTAAGCATTTCTTCTAGTTGTGTGTAAAACTTGGATTCAGACTGAAATTAAGTACAAATAACATTCAAGAAATAAGATATAACACACATCATTATCCAATTCATGCTTCAACTATAGTCTACATGCAATTTTTTCACTTGGACCATGACTTAACTCCAGGACAAAAAAGAATAGTGTAGGTAAGTAGCTCAAACCACATGGCATTAGAATTAAGTAAGTTAAATCATAATACATGGTCCTATACTCCATCAGAAACACCAACCTGAATGATGATCTTGGCACATTCATTACAGGGGAACATTGTAACATATAGTCTCTGCAAAAAAGAAAGACAAGATGGTCCACTTTGTATTAGTCTCTGGCTCTCTGCAGAAGAAAGATTGTGCCAATGCGACATAGAACATAAAAATAAGGTTGTATAGGGGACAGTGCTTACAAAAAATATTATAGCCAGTACCTCTATAAGCACCAATAATCAGATTGATCACTAAAGTAGCCTTAAATTCACATGCTTCTGTTATCAAAGCCCAAAGCACATGCTAGAATTTCTAGTTCCAGACACGACCTTCCTTTCCAGAGAACATGCAAAGGTCATGTATCTAATAACCTTTAGATAGGCGACATTCAAATAATAAAAAATAATGATATGATAATTATATTTCCTGAGCTAAAATTGAAAAAGTAGACACTTCAGAATGTCTCAAAAACTTATGAATTTTGCTACCAACCAAAATAGTTGATTTGTGAAAAATGAAAAATATCTAGCTCTTGAATTTCACGTGGTAGTTGGCAGCATGTTAAACATTTTATAGGTTCGCAAATATGAAGTGGTTTTTTAACATATCTGCTCCCAAATTTGTGTTTTGAAAATTATCACCCATGTCATATGAAGACCATTAGTCTACCGCTCCATCACAATTAGCAAACCAAATCGGAAAACTCATCACTCTTCCACTCACCCTCCCTCCACCCCTTCACCCCCCCTCCATTGAAATTCAGACAGGACTTCCTCCACATTTACGATTAGATGTGGATTCCATGGAGAGGAGAGGGAGCCCAAGAGAACTCTCTCCCTTTTCCTCTGCCCCTCCCTCTGCCCCTCCCCTCTCCCCTTTCTTTTCAAGGGATCCAGAGGCAGATTTGGTTGGTTGGAATCAGAGAGTGGTCTTTGGGGTTCTTTTTAATGGATTTTCCTTGACAGATGAAGAATAAGATTGGATTGTTGTATTGGGTATGTTGTAATAGTATTTTATCGATAAACAAATGGATTACTGATAAATGGTGTCTTCTCAATGATGTATTTCACAACATCGTTTTAATCAGCTAATTATAATAACTGAATGACATTGTGCAAGAAGGCTAATTATAACAATTGAATGATAATATTTTACAACACTTGTAACAATAATTTCAAGTAGATCGACTAATTTAGGGAAAATGTACATGAATTTGTTTCTTTCAGCACTTACGTCTTGTTTGGTATGTGAGAATTGTTGGTCCACCTCATGTGGCACGTGGGCCAGCAAATAATAGGGTGTCACATGCGCCAGTAGCTAAAGAAGAAGATTGGGTGGGCGTTTTTGTTTTGACTAAAGAAGAAGATTGGGTGGGCGTTTTTGGTTTGTCAAAACATATGGCTCGTCCAGTTTCTTTTTGTCAAACACTTAGGCCAGCAACCAAGAAAAAGTAAAGAGGGCGGTTGTATTTTTTCTTTGAGTAGGACCCATGCTTGACAAAATTGAACGGGATCAGTGGCGAGATTTGAGGAGTTTAGAGGCTGATTTCCTCTATAAATGGCAGACTCATTCCTTCAGTTTTTTATCATCGAAAATAAAGGAACAACCAAGTGAGAGCCTCAGATACAGAGAGTTTATCTGAGAGAGAGAAAAACAGAGAGCCTAGTTGTGAAGTTTTATTCACAAATAGAAGTTGTGTTATTAACCAATTTTGTGAAAGATCCACCTAAGGGTGAAGTGTGTAATCCCGTTATTATTATAGTGAAAGTTTTTTAAGTGGCCTACAGGTCCCGTGGTTTTTACCTCTTTTGGAGGGTATTCCACGCTAAAAATCTTTGTTGTTATTTTTGTCTCATTTAGTTGGGAAAATTATTCTGGGATTTCTCAATCTTTCCCAACAAAGTGGTATCAGAGCAAGGTAGGCTTAGGAGGCAAGAGAAGGAGATCATATACGTATTATACCACACTAGTATATACATATATACGGTGACTATTCATACACACGTCTCTATTCATGTCGGAGAACTATTCATGTCGGAACACTATTCACAATACTATTCACTGATCGGAAAATTACAAGCTCGGTGAAACCTGTTGACTAGCAATTCAAATGGAGGAGAACACCAACACTGGCAATATGATCAAGCTGACTACATTTAATTATGCAATTTGGAAACCGAAGATGGAGGATCTTTTGTACATTAAAGATTTGTGGAAGCCAATTGTAATGCCAAAGGAGAAAGCAGTGACTACAACGAGCGACAAAATAACTAGCACCTCGGAGGCCACATCCGATGCTGATTGGGTCGTGCTAAACTGAAAGTGTGCTGCTCAAATCAGACAATGGATCGACAAGAGCATTTTTCAAAATTTTGCTAATGAACACGATGCTCATGTTCTTTGGCAAAAATTGAAGAAAATGTATGCAAGGACAACCGTACAGAATAAAGCTAATCTGATGCGACAATTAGTCAATTTAAAGTATAAAGACGGGAGCAGTGTATCGGAACACATGAGCGAGTTCCAAGGCATCGTAGATCAGCTCAACTCTATGAAAATGACCGTAGACGACGAGTTACAAGCACTATTGATGTTGAGTTCTCTACCAAAAAGTTGAGAAACTCTAGTTGTGTCAGTTAGTAACTCTGCTCCTGACGGAAAGCTTACCATGGACATGGTAAAAGACAGAATGCTGAACGAAGAGTCTTGACGAAAAGAAGGAGGATATGCTCCTAAAAATGAAGCGCTTGTTACAGAAAGACAAGGCAAGCAAGAATGGAGAAGAAGAAGCAAAAGTAAAATTCCCCGTAACCAAAATCAAAGAGGACGGTCGAAGTCCAGATCGAGGCATGATAAGAAGTGTCATCATTGCGGCAAGCCAGGACACTTCATTCGAGAATGTCAAAAGTTAAAGGCAAAAAAATCCAGAAATCAAGAATCCGAAACCCGAACAAATGACACTGCAACTGTCACCGAAGAAGTTGTCATTGTTCGAGATGCTGATTATGTCAATCTTGCATATCAAGACTCCACATGGATAGTTGACTCAGGTGCTTCCTACCATGTCACCTCACGACGGGATTTCTTCTCAACCTACACTCAAGGTGATTTCGGACAAGTGAGGATGAGAAATGATAATGCATCCAAAATTATCGGCATCGATAAGGTTTATTTAGAAACTAACTTTGGATGCATGTTACTTTTGAAAGAAGTGAGGCATGTTCCTGATATCCGCCTCAATCTGATCTCCACCAGAATGTTTGATGAGTCGATGACGATTGCTACAATAATTATTTTGGTGAAGGAAAATGGAAGCTTACCAAAGGCAACCTGGTAGTAGTCAAAGGCAAGAAAGATACAACACTTTACCACATAGAAGCCAAGTTGTGTAGAGGAGAAGTAAATACCACCCGGAAAGAAGTTCCCACCGAGTTATGGCATAAACGGCTTGGCCACATGAGTGAAAAGGGTCTCAGAATTCTTTTTAAGGAGCTCTTGCCAGGAATGAAAGGTACACACTTACGTACTTGTGTTGATTGTATTATGGGAAAACAACACAGAGTTGCATTTCATAGTTCTCCACCATCTAGAAAGGCAAATATTCTAGATTTAATACGCACAGATGTCTGCACAATGAGTTATAAGTCACTAGGTGGTGCTCTTTATTTTGTAACCTTTATTGATGACCACTCTAGAAAAGTGTGGGCCTTTGCTTTGAAAACTAAAGATCAAGTGCATGAAGTCTTTAAAGAGTTTCATGTAAAAGTTGAAAGAGAAACTGACAGACGTTTGAAGTGTGTACGTGCAAATAATGATGGTGAGTATTGCGGACCATTCGAGAAGTACTGCAGAAGTTTCGGCATCAGGTTGGAAAAATCAGTACCAAAGACACCTCAACATAACGGTGTAGCAGAAAGGATGAACATGACCATTTGCGAAAGAATCAGATGTATGTTCTCAAATGCAAAACTACCAAACTCTTTTTTGGGGGAGGCTATGAGGACAACAGTCGATTTAATCAACCTTTCTCCATTAGTTCCACTGAACTACGACGTACCAGAAAAAGTCTAGACGGGGAAAGATGTTTCTTACAAACACTTGAAAGTATTTGGCTGCAAAGCATTTGTTCACATCCCAAAAGACGAGAGGTCCAAACTGGATGGAAAAGCTAAGCAAAGTATTTTTTTTGGATATTCCCATGAAGAGTTCGGTTACAGACTCTGGGATCCTATTAACAAAAGGACTATCAGAAGCAGAGATGTGGTGTTTCTTGAACATTAGACGATCAATGATTTTGAGAAACCCGAGAAGCCACAGTCAGATGAAATTCCAGTGAATCTGGAACCAGTATCTCCACCAACAAATTCTAATGATGGGGGAGTCACACCAGATATCGATGATGTTCCACCAGCTCGTAATCCAAAACCAAAGTAAGCTCCTGAACAAGTCCAACTAGAAGCACAGCTAAGGAGATCCACTAGAGAGCGACAATCAAGTCGTAGATATTCTCCTAACGAGTATGTGATGCTCACTGACGGGGGAGAACCGAAGAGCTATGGCGAAGCTATCACTGACCAGCACAAGACTGAGTGGTTAAAAGCCATGCAGGAAGAAATAAAATCTCTACATAAGAACCACACAATTGACCTGGTGAAATTACCACAGGGAAGGAAAGCTCTCAAAAACAAATGGGTGTACAGGATCAAAAGTGAAGAAGGTCGCTCGCAACCACGTTACAAAGCAAGACTGGTTGTGAAAGGATTCGAGCAAAAGAAGGGCGTTGACTTTGATGAAATATTCTCACCAGTGGTTAAAATGTCTTCAATCCGAGTTGTTCTTGGCTTGGCAGCTAGTCTCAATCTAGAGGTTGAACAACTTGATGTAAAAACTGCATTCTTACATGGTGATCTTGATGAGGAAATTTACATGGAGCAGCCCGAAGGTTTCCAAGTCAAAGGGAAGGAGAAGATGGTATGCAAACCGAAGAAGAGTTTGTATGATCTGAAACAGGCACCCAGGCAGTGGTACAAAAAGTTTGACTCATTCATGGAGAAAAATGAGTACAACCGAACGATAACTG